CATGCCTTCCCTGTTCGACGTGCGACAGAACATAGCCTTGTATGCGATCCTCCGGCTTGGTGAGAGGCCCTAGGGGAGGGAGGCCTTGGGGAGGGGAGGAGGGTGGCTGAGGCAGGCATGTCCAGCCACACCTCCAATGCACTGGGTTCCTCCTGTCTGGCCCACCCCTGTTGGAGGTCACAGCCAGCCTGGGCCACCCCAGAAGTCATGTGGGCTCTTGACCTGCTGAGGAGACCACACTTCCAGCCCCTTTCTCAATCCCAGGTGGCATCCACAGTCTGCCCCATTTCCAGAACATTGGTGTCTTTCTAAGGAGGTTGATATCCACACCTTTTAGGTGGACCCTTCTTAATGCAGGGGTGGAAACAGATGGCATGGGAAGCAGAAAGGACACTGGAAGGGGGGAGGGCTCCCTCCTGACACCCCCCTGTAGTCATGGTGATTGCTAAGGCTCTGAGCTGCCGCTCTTGTTATGTTTGCCTGGGGGCCTGCTCAGGCCATGGGAGGCGGCAGTGCAGCCTCACGCCACTCAGCCCCAGGCCTTGGACCTCGCCTGACACCATACCCCATCCGGTCCCTGACGGCCCCCTGTCTGTCTCTGGCCTCTTTTCTCTCTCAGGCTCCCCTGATATACACTCCATGGCTCCCCTCATCCGCTCCATCCTCCTGGTGGGCCCCTCTGGCGTGGGGAAGAAGATGCTGGTCAACGCCGTGTGCACAGAAACTGGTGCCAACCTGTTCGACCTGTCACCTGCTAACCTGCAGGGCAAATACCCTGGCAAGGCCGGGGTGCAGATGCTAGTGCATATGGTCTTTAAGGTTCGGCGTTTCTAGTTCTCAGACTGTGACAGCAGAGCAGGGTGGGCTCTGTGCTCAGGCCACCCACCTGCCTAGTTGGTGTGAGCTCAGGAGCTGGTGAGGTCTTTACCAAGCACTGCTAGGAGATTGTGGACACCTGAAGCCCCCATAATGAGGGAGGTGGGGCGAAGTGGGAGGAGAGATAAGGCTTAAGATGTAGCCCTAACCAGTTTGGCTCAGTGGATAGAGCATCGGCCTGCTGACTGAAGGGTCCCAGGTTCGATTCCGATCCAGTAGGGAGTGTGCAGGAGGCAGCTGATTGATGTTTCCCTCTCCTCGGTGTTTCTAACTCTCTATCCCTCTCCGTTCCTCTCTGTAAAAAAAAAAATCAATAAAATATATTAATTAAAAAAAAAAAAAAAGATGAAGCCAGCCCCAACCCCCAGAGAAGGCAAGGACTCTGCTCACACTGAGGGGTGATAGGTGTGCCACGGGCTGGCAGGTGGGGTCGGCAGTATGTCACATGGAGCCTGGAGCTCCCAGGCCACCACTGCCCTAGGCTGGCCCTGGCCCTGGGTTGGATCACATGGGGAGGTGAGCCTTGCCCAGGAATGGCTAAAGTCAGGTTTCTGTTCTCTGACTTGTCCAGGTGGCTCGACTCCTACAGCCCTCAGTGATCTGGATTGGAAATGCCGAGAAGAATTTCTATAAGAAGGTCCCAAAAGAGGAAAAGGAGGTAAGGGAGCACGGGCCCCTGGTAAGCCACTCCAAGTGACACGCACTGCCTGACCTAGGACAAGTCCCCTGTCCTCCTCCTGCCGTATTTCCTTCTCCTTAAAGCAGGACTGACAGCAGCTCCCACCTGCCTCTCAGGGCCCCTGTGAGTGTGGACAGGTGTCCTGAGAACTTGGAAGCCCATATCATGAGTCACCATGTCCCCACCCGCACCCCTTCTCCCCAGAGCAGATGGACCCAAAGCGAATAAAGAAGGACCTCACCAAGGCCCTGCGACTGCTGAGTCCCGGAGACCGGGTCATGCTGATAGGGACCACCAGCCAGCCGCAGCTCGCTGAGATAAAGGGGCTGTGCCGGACCTACGAACGGATTCTCTTCATGCCTCGGCCTGACTACGCTTCTCGCTACGGTAAGGCCTGGGGATGTGGGCACGGCCAGAGAAGGGGGCCGGGGACCACCCCTCATATTCCCATCCCCCACTGAGCAGCACCGCCACAGCCAGGTGCTCCGGAAGGGCTGGCTGCTACACTGGGTCCTGGCCTGATTCTGTGGACAAGGGCTGGCCACTTAAGTCCTCCCGTCTCATTGTCTTGTGTGGAGTGGGGATGACCCCCATCTTCCTGGGAGGAGAGGCTCGCTGCCTCTCAGCCCCACCTCCTCCCCCATGCCTGCAGTGGTCTGGAAGCGGATGCTGCACGCCCAGAGAGTCCTTGTGACCCAGAGCAGCCTGGACATCAGTGCCCTGGCCAGGGTGTCCGATGGCTACACCCCTGGTCACATTTTCCAAGCCATCCAATCGGTGCTCACCGAGCGGCGGCTCCTACAACTGTCCAGGAGGCCCCTGGTGGCCTCGGAGTTCCTAGGTCATCTGGCAAAGGTGGACCCAGTGTACAGGGAGGAGGAGGAATCCCTGAAGGTGAGACTTGGGGAGTCAGGGGTCACCAGCAGGGAGGATTGTGGGCCGGCACCAGAGTGAGGCAGCCCTCTGCAGCCCTAGGTGGGCAGCCCACCTCGGGCCCCTCTCTCTGCTGCCCTGTGGAGCTCAGCCTGCAAGGGAACTGCAAGTCACAGGGAAGGACTTGTGGGCAGGACTGGCTCACCTGGTTTCCTCAGAGTGGAACCTGAAGGCGCTGCCTGTGTATTAGGAACCCTTCGTGTTCCTGGCACCAGCTGCCACTCACCTCCCTGCCTCTGAGACAGTGGCACCCCCCCCCCCGGGTGGTAATGTGGGATGGGAGCACAGGAGAGAGGGCCGCAGGGTCTGACACTGTGGCTTGAAGCACCCGGTGAGACTGAAAGAAACCATGGCTCTAGCAGGCTGCCGGGCAGAGGGTTGGGGGGTCGGGGGAGGAGAAAAGGCTACTGCAGACACAGATCTGGAAGCACCTGCTGCACACCCAGAGTCCAGGTGACCCCGAGCCACCGGGACATCAGTGCCCTGGCCAAGGTGTCCGACGGCTACACCCCTGGTCACATTCTCCAAGCCATCCGATTGGTGCTCACCGAGTGGCAGAAGGGATGAGGTCAGGAGGCAGAATCAAGGCCAGATGCAATGCACTTACCCTCTCCTCCTCCTCCTTCTTCTCTTCTTCCTCCTCCAGGACTGGTACTTCAAGACCCCACTGGGCATGAAGAAGATACAATTTAACAAGGACCAGGAGGCTGAGGAGGCCAGGCTGGCAAAGGAGAAGAAAAAACGGAAGTGACTTCTGAGGAGTGCCCGAGAGGAGCGGCGGGACTAGGGCAAAGAGACTGGGGGGCAGAGGCATAAACTCCCAGATGGCTTGGGGACCAGCTCTCTTTGTCCATCTCCGTGCTTCCACCCCTTGTTCTGTGTTACCGGCTCCACCTCCTACCCCACCCTGTCGAGTTTCTCTGATCCGGATCTCTGTCCTCTGACCTCACCCTGTCATTTTTCTGTCCTGGCTCCCCACTCCCTTTCTTCCTCAAAGTATGTAGGGGAGGAAAATGGGGTGGGGGTGGGGGGGAAAGAAAGAGAGAGAGAGAGAGAGAGAGAGAGAGAGAGAGAGAGAGAGAGGATCTCAGTAAGTAGAAAGAAAAAGAAAAGCAGGTCTGGAGGTCAGCAGAGGAAACCAGGTGAGCCAGTCCTGCCCACAAGTCCTTCTCTGGTCTAGCCCCGCTCAGCACTGACCGCTGTGTGGGCTGCATAGTCCTTTCCTGACCTGGGCCTTGGCGTCCTCACCTGTGAAGTAAGATGACCTCCAGCTGATCTCCCTTCTACTCTAGGGTTGGATGTTCCTGCCAAGGCGTCTGGGAAGGCAGGGAGGTGGCGGGTGGAGAGGAGAAAAAGTATTTGTGACTGCTGGTAGATCCGGTGCCTTTTCTGAACGGTCTTCACTTCCGCTTTCCTCTGGACACCTTCTTCCACCTGCCTTTGTCTTTGACCCGGAGCCTGGCCCCAAGGGGCGCAGGGAGCAGAAGTCCATCTGTGGATCCCCCTTGTGGGGTGAGAAGAGCTAGGGGGAACTGGAGTCAGAAAACTCTGGGTTCTCCCAAAGAAGCAATGTACAGAGTGTGTGAATAAAGGTCAAGTGCACACCACAGGCTGTAGCGGCAATGAGGGCCAGGCCAGGCGAGACCACGGGGGCGGCGCCAGCTCCTATGGCAGAGGTGGCTCAGCTGAGCCCAGGGGGTGGTCTGAGTTTTCTTTCTCCCTTTTTTTTCATGTTCTCTCTCCAAATGAAAGTAGTTTTAGTATCTGATGTGGGCAGAGCCACTTCCTCCTTCTCCCTTTCCAGCTGAGACCCCTTCTCACCGCGGCAGATAGAGAGGTCAGGGGAGAGGCAGGGGTCGTCCACAGAGATGGGGTCAGCACGAGGATGGGGTCAGCAGCTGGTGGGATCCCTGTTCCTCTGGGCAGAGCCTGTCTTCCTAAGAGTCCCTGAAGGAGATGACTCATAGAAAGGCCTTCCCTGCAATTGTCCCCACTCTGAATCCCTCCCTCAGGCTCAGGAGGGTGACGATATGGGGCTAGTTGGTGAAATTTGGGAAGACAGAAAAAATTGCGTGCACTCACTGGCCCTCCCTCGGCCCCAGCAGCTGGAGGCCTCTTGAGAAATGGCAGCTGGAGAGCCCCACCCTCCAATCCCCGCTCTGCAACAAGCTGTCACCTAGGGGCCAATCTCTTCCCACCTCTGGACTCCCTTTTCCTTTTCCTGTGAAACCACAGTTGGTGCCACCATCCGGGTCGTCCCTTCGATCCGGCTGCGAACAATTCAGGGTGAAAACTCGGGGTTGGAGGGTCCCATCCTCACTCGATCTCTAGGCTCCTCCCTAGTTCCCGTGGCCAGCCTCAGCCTCATTCCCCACGAAGGACAGCTAGGACAGCGCAGGCTATTTATGGCCTGGTTCCCTGCCCCTCCCATCACGGGCCTCGCCTGGCTCAGGCCCAGTGCCAGGCATCGCCTGAGTCCTGCTTCTTTGGCTCTCTCTTCCACAAACCAGCCATGCCCGGGAGAAGGGGCTCCCCTCCCTACTCGGAACGCCATCCGGGGTGCTTCTCCTCAGCCCCCGCCTGCTCTCAGTCCTGCCCAGACTGGGAGCCCCCACGGCCCTCGCCGCTGCTGTGCCGGGACATGGCCCTGCAGAACGCCCTGTACACCGGAGACCTGGCCAGGCTGCTGGAGCTGTTCCCCCCGCTCAGTACAGCCGACCTGCTGCTGGAGAGCCGGGCTGCTGAGCCTCGATGGAGCAGCCACCAGAGAGGTGAGGGGCAGCGGGGGCTGGGGCTGAGGACCAGGGGCTGGGCTGACAGCATCAGGTGGAGAGAGCAAGCGCTAAAGGAAAAGCAGCCCCTGGCTTCTCCCTCACCCCAAGGCTTGCCTAAACCTTGGCCCAGGAGTGGAGTCATGCGGAGCCCAGAATAGCTCCTGCTGAACCGTGTGGCCAGCTCAGGCTCAGCTCAGGGACAGAGACCCCCTCCTTCCATCTGTCTGTGCTTCTCTTCCTTTTCTCTCTTTGCCTCTGCCCCCAACCTCTCCTCCCCCCAAACCCCCTTCCCATATGCTCACACTGCCCTAATGAGCTGGTCCCCAGGTGAGTGCAGGGGGTGGGCAGAGCCCCCAGGTGACAGACGTGCCCTCTGTGCCAGGCTGGTGGAGAAGCCCCACAGTGGGTCTGCAGAACATCCAGAGTCTGGCCCGGGACCCATCGTCACCCGCACAGCCTCAGGACCTGCCCTGGCCTTCTGGCAGGCATTGCTGGCCGGGGACGTGGGCTCCGTCTCCAGCATCCTCGCCGACTCCAGCACTGGCCTGGCACCAGACTCCATCTTTGATACCAGCGACCCAGAGCGATGGAGGGATTACCGCTTCAACATTCGTGCTCTGAGTACGGCCAGGGGCACTGGGGGGGTCTGAGCAGGAGAGGGGAGGCTGGAAATGGAGCTCTGGGCTCCCTCCTCCCGGCCTCTGCCCTTCTCCCTCCTTACCTGGCAGCTCTTTGCTTCCCTCCAGGATCTGAGGCTAGTGTCTCCTCTCTCCCCAGGACTCTGGTCTCTGACTTACGAAGAGGAGCTGACCACCCCACTGCACGTGGCAGCCAGCCGGGGCCACGCGGAGATTGTGCAGCTGCTGCTGAGGCGGCGGGCAAGGCCAGACAGCGCCCCTGGGGGCCGCACCGCCCTGCATGAGGCCTGTGCCGCAGGCCACACGGCCTGTGTCCACGCGCTGCTGGTGGCAGGAGCCGACCCCGACATCCCTGACCAGGATGGGAAACGCCCCTTGCACCTCTGCCGGGGGGCTGGCACCCTCGAGTGAGTGACTCCTCGCCCTAACCCCCACCCCACTCGTAGGGGAGGCAAAGCTATGACCTCAGGGGGAATGGGGAGCATGTCAGGGGCTAGCAGGCTGGGGGGGCTGGATGGAGGAATCAGGGCTCAGGTGGGGAGTCAGGATGCACTTACTCTTCAAACCATCCAACCATTGGGCCCAGGAAGTTTGGAATGGCCTGAACCGGGGACCGTTTCTGCTTCCCCAGAGGCTGAGGAGGGCAGTGTCAGGGGTCAGCCGCATGGTCTGCATTGGAGAACTTGTCTGGATTTGTTCATGTGTTCCACAGCAACTGAGGCATGGACCTGCCCTCAGGGATGGACTGTCCAGTGATCCAGATAGGCTGTAAGGACAGTGACTTCCTGTTAGAGTCTACCTTGGTCCCTGGGGACAGGGTCTGGTTCTCAACTTGGCAGGTCTGGCATTTCCAGAATGGCAGGCACCCTCAGTAATGGACACAGGGACTGAGTCCAGCTAACCAAACTCACAAGAAACTAAGAGATATATCCAAATGTGGCACAGGCATTGCTTACAGTATGGAATATTCCAGATAAGTATGCCCTATGAGCAGAGAACCTTGGAGGATGAGTCCTCACAACTCTTTGAGCATGGACTCCCTCAAAGGAAGCCTTTGCAAACCGTTGACTAATTGCACCCACAACGGAGGCCCTCTCTCTACTGACTACACACCTGCCAAGTTTCACATCGGCCCCTGAATGGAGCCCAGTTTTTATCCTGGGTCCTTCTCTCGTGGACCTTCTTCCACCCGTTAACCTCATCAGCTTTCAGAGGCTCCGCTGACTTATCATATTAAAGACACGTCCTATTCCAGCATAGGCCCTGAGAAATACAACGAGGTGTGAGCCATGTAGGTAACTAAAATTTTCTAGCAGCCTTATCATAAAATGAAAAAGAAACAGGTGAAATTAACTTTTTAAACAGTGGTAGAATACCCATAGCACAAAATTTAACATCTTAACCATTTCTAAGTATATAAGTGCATTCACATTGTTGTGTAACCATCACCACCAGCCACCCAACTCCTGAATGATTTTAATCTTACAAAACTGTTGAGCAATAACTTCCTATTGAGCAGCAACTTCCCATTCTCCCTCCCCTCACAGCAACATCATTCTACTTTCTGTGTCTATGACTCTGACTCCTCTGACTACCTCAGACAAGTGGAATCATATAGTGTTTGTCCTTTTGAAACTGACTTATATCACTTAGTATAACGTCCTCATGGTTCAACCCTGTTGTAGCATGTACCAGAATTTCCTTCAGTTTTAAAGTTTGCATAATAATCTATTGTATGTAGATGCCACATGTCAGTTATCCATTCATTCATCTATTGATGGAGACTTAGTTTGCTTCCATATTTGGCTGTTATGAATGATGCTGCTGTAAACTATGTATAAAAGAATATCCGAGAGCGTCAGCTTGGGGACTGAAAGGTCCCGGGTTCGATTCCGGTCAAGGGCATGTGCCTTGGTTGCGGGCACATCCCCGGTGGGGGGTGTGCAAGAGGCAGCTGATCGATGACTCTCTCTCATCGATGTTTCTAACTCTCTATCTCTCTCCCTTCCTCTCTGTACAAAAATCAATAAAATATATTTAAAAAAAAAAAAAAAAAAAAAAAAAAAAAAAGAATATCCGTGAAACAGCTGACATTAAGTAATATATTTCACTTAACACAATATATCCAAAATGTTATCATTTAAACATATAATCAGTAGCAACAACAACAAAATATTAATGGGGTGTTTTACATTCTTGTTTTGTACTATCTTCAAGTTGATGTGATTTTCCACTTAGTTGGTACCAATTAGGACTAATCATATTGCAAGTGCTCAGTCGCCACATATGGCTGATGGCTACTGATTGGACAACACAGTTCCACCTGTTGACCTCATCAGCCTCAGAGGGTTCCTATTTTTAGCTCTGGCCATGTCCCAGCCCAGCTCCCTTGAAGTGACACCCAGTGATGATCCTTTCTTCCTTTCTTGAGTAAGCAACTGTGTATCTAAAATCATTACGGGGAATTTCAAACACAGAAATGTGGGCAGGATAAGATAATGATCCACCATCATCTGTACCACCCACCTCTCCCTGTCATTAACGCTGCTGTTACGAGTTCTCATGAAAACAGCTTTTCAGGCATATGCTGCCCACAACTGCATCATTTAGGTCTAGATTTCAGCAATTATCCCTGTTCTACAGATGAGGAAGCTGGAGCTTATCTTAGCAAAGAGGCTAATGCCTTTAGCCTTGAATTTTGGTGCATGAGACCTTTCATAGGGCAATTCTGGCTGTTCAGTTTTGTTTTTGTTTGTGCTTACTGCCAGGCCCCATTCCCCTTTCCTTCCCAGGGTCCCTGTAACTCCCCTGCTGTCCCAGGACTGGAAGGCCAGCTTCTCCCCTCACTAGCTGTGCGAACATGGGTGAGAGCCTCACGCCCTCAGTGCCTCCGTTTCCCACCGGAATCTGCCCTAGGAAGCAAGTGCACGCACTAAGGCCCAGACCTGCCAGGTATGAGTGCACCGTGGCGTCTGGTGGCTTTTCCTGCCATTGAGGGCTTAGTGCACTGTCCCTGCAGGGCATGTGTGGACCGGAAAAGGGAGCATTGTTTTTGTTTTTTAATATATTTTATTGATTTTTTTTTTTTTTTACAGAGAGGAACGGAGAGAGATAGAGAGTTAGAAACATGGATGAGAGAGAAACATTGATCAGCCGCCTCCTGCACACCCCGCACTGGGGATGTGCCCGCAACCAAGGTACATGTCCTTGACTGGAATCAAACCTGGGACCCTTGAGTCCGCAGGCCAACGCTCTATCCATTGAGCCAAACCGGTTTCGGAAGGGGGCATTGTTGAACCTGTAAAATCTTGCTGGATGACCAGTGACAAGATGGGAGGTGAGGACCCATGGCTCCCCATTGATGGCTTTGCTCAGACTGGCGGAAATGCAGGGGTGAAGGGCTACGCCCCATTTTCTTTCCCACCGCCCTCTCCCCCTCACCAGATGTGCAGAGCTGCTCCTGAGGTTTGGGGCGAAAGTGGATGGTCGGTCCGAGGAGGACGAGGAGACCCCTTTGCACGTGGCCGCCCGGCTTGGCCACGTGGAGCTGGCAGACCTACTTCTAAGACGGGGCGCAGACCCAGATGCCCGGGACGCTGAAGGCTGGACACCGCTGCTGGCTGCATGTGACACCCGCTGCACACCCCCCACCGCTCCCGAGGCCACCGCAGCCCACTGCCTCCAGCTGTGCCGCCTGCTGCTCTCAGCCGGCGCCGACCCCGACGCTGCCGACCAGGACAGGCGGCGGCCGCTGCATCTGGCCTGCCTCCGCGGCTACGGGGCCATCGTGGAGCTGCTCCTGTCCTGCGGTGTCAGTGTCAACGCCATGGACTATGGGGGACACACAGCCCTGCACTGTGCTCTGCAGGGTCCCCCCATGGCCCTGGCCCAGAGCCCAGAGCATGCAGTGCGAGCGCTGCTCAACCACGGTGCTGTCCGGATCTGGCCGGGGGCTCTCCCCAAGGTATGGGGCTGGGGGCAGAGGGAGGGCAACGAAGGCCAGGGACCAGGAGACCAGGCCTGTGTGCCCACATGCTCTGGGTGCGCCTGGGCCACCTGGGCATTTGATAGGTCAGTTCAGTCTGTCTTTCATTCCACAAGCCAGCAAAGCCCAACAGCGGCAGAGGTGAGGACACAGACCAGGGGAGGAGTGTGTGGTGTGTGTGTGTGTACACGTGTGTGAACGTGCATACATGTGCACACACATGTGTATACATATACATGTGCACTCCATATGGACTGAGGGCGGTGGGGCCAGATTATAAAGGATTGGAAGAGCCTGAGAGGAGGAGCCAGGATTGATGGGGACAGGAGGGAGGTGAAAAAGAAAGCCCTAGCTCTGCTTGGCTGTGGGCTGATCAGTGAGACACTTGATGCTCAGGCCAAGCTCCCCTAAGCAGGTGATGAGCCTGGGTCATGAGGTTCGGGACGAGCTTGGTCCTGGTTTCTCAGTGCTGGCAGGACAGGCATCACCCAGCCCCGCGCAGCTGACCTGGCACCTGAGAAAAAATCCTTCACTGTCAATTTCCAATTTGTATCTTTACTTACGTTAACTTCCCCAAAGGGGCTCAACTGGAAGGCCTGTTACTGATGTGCTGGCAGGGGGCCCTGTCCCATGCAGGGTCGTGTCTGGAGGTGGCTATATGACGTAAAAGGGCTCTGGGTCTTGGGTTGGGTCAGGACTAATATGGCTGTGGGCAAGTCCCCCTGCCCTATCTCCCTGTTTATTCTGTCCAGCCTCACCTTGTCCTGGATGCTCCCCTTCTGTCCCTACCTTTCCCCTCCACTCACAAGCCTGGAAGCATTTGTCTAGATTCCTAAGCAAGACCAAATAATTAAACAGCCTGAGAGTTCGGCAGATTGGTCTCCCCTTTGGGAGAATACAAGAAAATCAACAATTAACACTAATTAATCTCCTATTAACACCAGATAATTAGGAGACAAGTAATTCCCTGTAATCTGACAGTGGCTCTGACAGCTAATGATTCCCGTCGTCAGAAACGGCGTGGGAGGAGGAGGTGGAACAGCAGGCAGGTCTCCGGGGATCCCTCTGCCTGCCCCCTGGCCCTGCTCCTCCCTGCCTCCTAGAGCAAGCGGGCCACAGAGCAAAGAGCCCCATCCATCCCTTCATGATCAGAAAGTGCAGGATCCATTTCCCACAACTGGACAGCTGTGCCAGGCATGGCTGGGATGCCTGTCTCCGGTGAGGAACTCCTCCTCCCTGCTTAGGAAGTCTCCGTGCCCCTGGGACCACTGCCAGCCCCAGCCAGTTCTCTCGGAGCTACCCTATTGAACTGAGCACGTCGGAGACCCCATTTTGATGCTCGTTCATGTGACTATAGTCAAGTCCCTGGAATTTTCTGAACCCAAGTTCCCTGCAACCAACAGTGATGAAAAGCTATTGGAGCACAGTGGGTAATAGTAAGAGCCCGCACAGTCCTGCCCACACACCACACATTGTTTGAAGGGGTGTGGCCTGTTACCTGGGTCCCCTTAGTCCTCCCAACAACCTCTGAGGTAGGTGGTGACTAAGAGTGCAGGCTCTGGAACCAGGCACACTATCTGGGTGACCCTTGGCAAGTTGCTTAGTCTCTCTGGGCCTTAGTTTCCTCTGCAAAATAGGAACATAACAGTATGCCTGATTCTTAGGTTAGTGTGAGAACGAAACGAGTTACGCATATAAAGCTCTTTGGACAGGGCCTAACTGGAGTTCATGTGCAATACCTGTTAGCTAGCCTTGTTTTGAAATTACGTAGTGTATGTGGAAGCACTTGGGGAGCTGTTAGGCATTATCCCAGTGTAGGGTATCATTGGACAAAGCGGGGCAGAGACACGCAGATTGGAACATAGGAGAGTTCCTGGAGGGGGTGGGACTTGGGCTTGAGGAGCTGGAGGCACAGGCATTCCAGGCAACGTGCACAGACAAATCAACGTGGGCCAGGACAGACAGAGACGGGCCCCAACGGCAGGCAGCAGGGAAGTCCAAGGTAACCAGCTTGCAACTTCCTAGCTCTAAGGAGTAAGGAAAAGAGGCCTGACCTGGACAGATAGCTGGGCAGCTTCGGTGAGCACCTCCAGCTGCAGGGCCAGAGCAGAAGGCTGTGGGGGGTACGATGCTTTCCCAGGGGTCCTGCTTCCTGGACCAGACCTTCCCCTGCTTCCATCAGCTGGCAGTGCCCAGAGAACATGCAGCACTCCCTGCCGTCAGGGCAGACAGGTCTCCTCTCCTTGTGCAGGGTGGTAAAGCCCCCAATGCCTGTGTGTGGGAGGGAAGTGGGGTATGCACAGAGATGCTGTCTGGAACATGGCCCCTGGCTGTTCTCAGATTTTACAAAGAATCTGCGGCTGGTAGCTCGACATATAGCAAGAAATGGAAAAGATGAAGCATGAATCTGTTTATGGGTATTGCATGCAGGCGTGGATGGGTATGACAGTACCTGTGTGTGTCACACCTGTGCATGGTTGCCTTTCTTACCACATGGATGGTCCCCCAGTCATGGGCAGCTCCCTGGCATGGCTTGCTCCTCACTGCATCCGGCCACATCCTTAGATAGGCCTTTAAATTTTTTAAAAAATATATTTTTATTTATTTCAGAGAGGGAGAGGGAGATAGAAACATCAATGATGAGAGGGAATTATTAACTACCTTATGTACACCCCCTACTAGGAATTGAGCCCAAAATCCCAGGCATATGCCCTTGACCAGAATTGAACCTTCAGTCCACAAGCTGATGCTCTATCCACTGAGCCAAACCGGCTAGGGTGAGAGGCCTTTTTGACTATCACCTAGGACTGTGCCCTCCCAACCACGGTCTCTGAGCCTACTGATTTTTATTTTCAGCAGCATATCTTCAAGCTGTGTTTTCTTTTTGAAATAGAAACTTCCTTACCCATCGGTCCTCCTCACTGACAGCTCCTCAGTGATTGGCCCACCGTGGGCTTCAGTAAATATTTGCTGAATGAAGAAATGAGATCTCACCCCCTCTCTCTCCTACATCAGGCTGCTGCTGGTCTGGCCCTCTCTCCCTGAGTGCCCTCTGGGCTCCTGAGTTCTCACCTTCACATCCTCAGGCTCCTGATCTGCGAATCCCCCTGACCACCCTGCTCCCTGCCGCCCCCCTTGTAGCTAGCTGTCTCTACCCCTCACTTGGCATCAGGAGAATTCATTCATCTTTTTATCCTCTCAGGAGTTCCAACCTTAGCTCAGAAACCCCTTTTCCATCCAAAAAACAAGCAGCAGAGAGCCTCAGTTTCCTTTGTTTGTAAAATGGGATAATAATAGTTTGTACCTTGTAGGGACAGGATTAAGAGACTTAATACAAGTAAAGTGCTAAGAACAGTATGCATAATAGAAATGTTAACTGACATCCTGGTTTCCTGTTACCACCATCACCAAGCACCACAAATTGTGAGGGAGTACATTTAAAACAATAGAGATGTACTCCCTCACAGTCCTGGAGGCTAGGAAGTTGAAATCCAGGTGTGGGCAAGGCTAGCTTCTTCCGGAGGGTCCGAGAGAGAATCTGTTCCATGCCTGTCCCCAAGCTTTTGGTGGCTGTCCACAGTCCTGGGTGTTCCTCGACTTGTAGGTTTATCACTCCAATCTCTGCCTCCATTGTCCCTGTGTGAAGTCTGTGTTGTTTCTCTTCTCATAAAGATAGCCGTCGTATTGGATTAGGACCCACCCTAATGGCCTCATTTTAACTTGATTACACCGACAAAGGCCCTGTCTCTGAACAGGTCACATTTATAGGTCCTAGAGATTAGGACATCCACAACAGCTGTTCTCTGCTGGCGGGTCACCCTGGGTGGACGGACTGGGACCTGCAGGGTGGGGTAACCCTGGGAGCACTCAGTGCCTCCGCCTCCTCCAGGTGCTGGAACGCTGGTGCTCGTCCCCACGCACCATCGAGGTCCTGATGAACACCTACAGCGCCATGAAGCTTCCTGCGGAGGCTGCGGGGCTGGTTCCTCCTGAAATTCTGCAGGTTAGACTCCGGGACCCTGACCACACAACCGCTCAGCCCGTCCAGGAGACTCCCACCTCCTACCACATGGGTCCCCCCCACAGAAATTCCCTGGGGACCCTCTTATGTCCCAGAAGAGGAAAACGTAGAGTGAACACCCCAGAGGCTCCAGAAGCTCCACACAGCCACCAGCCTGCCCTGTGGGGGGACTGGGTGCCGCTTGTTCCAGGCTGCCTCGCTGAGCCCTCCATCCCACTCCCAGAAGCACCACCGTTTCTACTCCTCCCTCTTCGCCTTGGCGAGGCAGCCCAGATCGCTGCAGCACCTGAGCCGCTGTGTGCTCCGAGCTCACCTGGAGGCCTGCCTGCCCCGTGCCCTGGCCCGCCTGCCCCTGCCACCCCGCCTGCTCCGCTACCTGCAGCTGGACTTTGAGGACGTGCTCTACTAGGTGAGTCCTGGGCTCTGTGGACAGTCTCAGCAGGAGATCTTTTTTTTCTTTTTCTTTTTTGGAGGGGGGTGGGTAGGAGGCAGGAGAAGAGTTGGGGGCAGTGTCCTGGCCAGGACCAGCCAACCTCCCATAGCACGGACCTCTCTGAATGCACCCTCTCCTTTCAGGTGGACACTGCTCTTTGAGAGAACCTACGGCAAATGCCCTGGACACCAGGGGCTCCGGCCCGCCTCTCACAGTGCACCGAACCCAGGACTGAACGGAACCAGCTCAAGCCCCGGTGGCCCTCTCAGCAGGAGGACCATCTCCACCGGCAGAGTGGAGGCTGCCATTCCCACCAGGGAGAGGTGGATGGACATGTTTGTTGGAGAGAGAGCTAGGACTCATGGCGAGTGATACTCTCCTCTTAGGGGTCTCCTGAGGTCCCCTCTGGACAGTCCAAATCCTATATGCACATTAAAGTCTCCAGACTGTGTTGTTTGGTACTCTCTCCAACAGGCCTGCCTTTGAGCTGGACCACTCACTGGGCCTCGGGATGGGCACACTGGACCTGTTCCATGGTGCGTCACCTTCCCCCTCTGGCATCCACCAGCTGTTGGGGGATCCCAGGCAGATCCCTGCCCCTCTCTGCCTGGTGATAGTGTCAGAAAAGTCCCAAAGGACAGCCAGCAAGTAGATGACTAGGCTTAGGGCAGAGCCTCAGCAGATGAGGCCAGGCAGACAGTGGGGCAGGACAGTAAAGGCATCTGGGAGTGGGGATGGGACGGGAGGGACAAGGTGGGCAAGCATGGAGGGGTAACCATGGTTCAGGAGAAAGTGGAAGACCCAGGTTTAGAAAAAAATACACACACACACACACACACACACACACACACACAAAGATCTCCCTCTTTCCTGTCCTGTAGGTCAGGGAGCATCGGATGCACACTGGTTCCTTCCACTATTGATCTGCTCCTTCAATTAGCTTTGAGGTGGCAGGAGCTGAACTGAGAGTTACGCCCTTGGGTTCTAGCCAGTAAGCCTCTCCCCCATTCTGGGCTGTGAAATAAGACAGAAGAGAGTTCCTGAGGGGCTTTGCAGTACCAGGGTTTTAAGAACCTGCAGGGTCCCCAGCAGCCAGGGGCGGCCTGCAGGGACCGGAGGGAGGGAGGCAGGCAGAGTTGACCGAGCCGCAGAGCAGCCAATCCAGTGCACCGTAATCCGTGACGTCAGAGTTGCTGGACAGATTTTCAGGGCTGCGGAGTGCGCACGCGCCAGAGTCCACGCTTTTCCCGCCAACAGCTAGGCTGGCCTGGAGGGCGCGAGGCGGCGGGTGAGGCTTGAGGGCGCGGAGCTCGCGGGCTGAGGAAGGAGCAGCCGAGGCGGACGGCCGAGGTGAGTGCGCTGGTTTCCCACCCGGCTGCTCTGGCCTCGGGTGACCGGCGATTGCGGGGCGCTGCGCAAGGACGGACGCCGGACGGGCGGGCCCGCGCCGGGAGCCCAGGCCCACGGAGGTCAGGCCGATGGCAGGCCGTGTGGGCGTCCAGGTCCCGCCTAGGGCACAAGTCTGAGCGGTTTCCGCGAGGCGTGTGCGGGAGTGCCCTCTGTGCTGGGGGGGCGGGGGGCCGGGGAAAAGCCGGTGCCGCTCAGGTTCCGCCCCTTCCGGCGCCTGGGGGGGTGGCCCAGGCGCGGCCGCCCATTGCGGGGCAGGAGCAGCTCTCCGTGGAGGAACTCCCGCGTGACTGACGGGGTTTGGGCGGTGTGAGGCGGGGGGCGGTGTGAGGGGGCAGGGGGCGGTGTGAGGCGGGGGGGTGGCGGTGTGAGGGGGCAGGGGGGTGTGAGGCGGGGGGCACTGTGAGGCGGGGGGGCGGGGGGCAGTGTGAGGGGGCGGGGGGCGGTGTGAGGCGGGGGGGCGGTGTGAGGGGGCGGGGGGTGTGAAGCGGGGGCAGGGGGCGGTGTGAGGCGGGGGGGCGGTGTGAGGCGGGGGGGGCGATGTGAGGGGGCGGGGGGGCGGTGTGAGGGGGGCGGTGTGAGGCGAGGGGGCGGTGTGAGGGGCGGGGGGGCGGTGTGAGGGGGCGGGGGGCGGTGTGAGGCGGGGGGGCGGTGTGAGGGGGCGGGGGGTGTGAAGCGGGGGCAGGGGGCGGTGTGAGGCGGGGGGGCGGTGTGAGGCGGGGGGGCGGTGTGAGGCGGGGGGGGCGGTGTGAGGCGGGGGGGCGGTATGAGGCAGGGGCGGGGGGGGCGGTGTGAGTCGGGGGGGCGGTGTGAGGGGGGCGGGGGGGAGGTGTGAGGCGGGGGGGCGGTGTGAGGGGGCGGGGGGCGGTGTGAGGGGGCGGGGTGGCGGTGTGAGGGGGGCGGTGTGAGGCGGGGGGGCGGTGTGAGGCGGGGGGGCGGTGTGAGGGGCGGGGGGGCGGTGTGAGGGGGCGGGGGGGCGGTGTGAGGGGGCGGGGGGGCGGTGTGAGGGGGCGGGGGGGCGGTGTGAGGGGACGGGGGGGCGGTGTGAGGGGGCGGGGGGCGGTGTGAGGCGGGGGGGGCGATGTGAGGGGGCGGGGGGGCGGTGTGAGGGGGGCGGTGTGAGGCGGGGGGGCAGTGTGAGGGGCGGGGGGGGCGGTGTGAGGGGGCGGGGGCGGTGTGGGGCGGGGGCGGTGGGCGGTGTGAGCCGGGGGCAGGGGGCAGGGACGCCTCCTCTCTGAGGGGTGACGCTTTGACCTGAGGCCTGAGTGACCAGGAGGAGCGGCCGTGCGGGTGCACGGGAGAGCAGCGGGGAGGGTCGTGCACTGACGTGGGTTTTAGGGTCGCTCAGCGGAGCTGGGAGGGAGTCAGAGGCTGTTGGGGGGCCCGGCCGAGCGGGAAGCGCAGGCCAGGCCCTTTCCCAGACCCCGGACCCGCTGATGGACGCCCCTGGTCTGAACCGCCGCGTGGTGTGCTGGCCACCGGGGCGGGGGCGGGCGGGAGCCGGATTCCACGTGGGGCTCCAGTTCACGTCCATCTCAGAGGCTGGGGACAAGGTCGGCTGGACCTGGGGATCCGGAGTTCAGGACCAGGGTCAGTCCGGGGGCACAGATGTGGGCTCGTTGGGTTGTGGAAGATGTCTAAAGCTCTGTTCTAAGAGAACCCTGGCTCTCAAAGATGCCTGGCTTTCCTGAGAGAGCCCCTGTGCATGCATTTTGGTGGAAAATGTCTTGCTTTTTATTGAGTTGATTGGGGTGACATTGGCTAATAGAATATAGGTTTCAGGTGTACAGTTCTACAATATATCATCTGTATATTGTATTATGTGTTCACCACACACGTCAAGTCTCCCTCCGTCACCATTTATCCCCCTATAATCTCTACTACCTCCGCCCCCAACCTGGATTCTGCTTCATACCGTCTCGTCATTCATTCTCTGCTTCCTGGGTTTTAGGAATGAGACCTGCTCCTGCCCTCAGTGAGTCTTCCATCTAATCTGAGAAACAGGTGTGTGAATAATTAGTTCGAATGCAAGGGGCAATGAAGTGAATGCAAGCGACGTGCGGGAGCAGGAGCTGGGGCGGGAGGAGTGAGGTGAGCGAGAAGAGCAGGCATATGGGGAGCCGGCGAAGAGGCAGCCTCTCCCAGCGGGTAAGGACTTCTGGCCACACCCGGAGCGGTCCTGGGAGGGCGGGGGGAGGGAGAAAGGCAGTGTGGAGTTGGCAGTAGGAGAGGCTGCTGCCCAACTGCAGCTCCCCGCAGCCAGCCAGGGCCAGGAAGGCCCTTTCTAGGGTTAGACACCCGGACATTCTTGCAAGCCGGGGAGCTTCCTCCCAGCCTGCTGGCTGCCGGTCCCGCGGGCCTAGAACCTCTCCCCGGTAATTGCTTTCCGTAATGTGTTTGCTCCAAACCAATTTCACGCCTCCGTGAGGACTCCGCCCTGCACTGGAGGCGCGGACCTCCCCACCACCAACCCACCCGCGTGTAACACGTGCTCACACACAGCACACATTTAACACAGCAGATACACAGGGTTCGGGTACCTGAACACAACAGACATATACAGACCTACACACGTGCATACTGGACTCTAAGACTCGTGTACTATCCTCATCCCAAACAGTGCACTCACCCAGCAGCTCCCCTTGCGTGCGGGTCCCTGGAGGCTACCCTGATCCTATTCCTTTGCCCTCGGGGCACCTCCCGACTAGAGCGAGGAGGCGCTCTCGCGGTGGCGCAGTTGCACTCTGCTGCCACCAGAGGGTACTCGCGGACAGGGCCCAACGCTGCCCACCGTCAGTGGACTCTCCTGTCCCTGAGTGAGGCGGCAGTATCTGCTGGCTTTAACTTTTTAAATTTATTTTGTTAATTCTCATCAGAGGATATTTTTCCATTGATTTTTAGAGAGAGAGTGGAAGAGCCACTGGCATGGCTCAGTGGTTGAGCATCTACCTATGAACCAGGAGGTCATGGTTCGATTCCCAGTCCAGGCACATGCCTGGGTTGTGGGCTCAATCCCCAGTATGGGGTGTGCAGGAGGAGCCAATCCATGATTCTCTCTTATTGATGTTTCTATCTCTCTCTCCCTCTCCCTTCCTCAATAAAAATACAGTTTTAAAAAGAGAGTGGAAGGGGGGGGGGAGTGATACACACACACACACATACACACACACACACACACACACACAGAAACATCTATGTCAGAGAGACACATCCATTGTTTGCTTCCTGCAAGAGCCCTGACCAGCTAGAATCAGGCCAGATCGAGCCTGCAACTGAAGTAGGTGTCCTTGACCAGAATAGAACCTGGGGCAACCCTTCAGTCCGAGGGCTGAGGCTCTATGCACTGAGCCAAACCAGATAAGGGCTGCTGGCTTTGACTTTAGAATACTGTGTTCATTCTTGGCATCCTAGGTTCTGACCTCTAATCAATGAAGGGAGGCCAGATGATGCCCTCCAGCAGAGACTTGTACAAGAAGAGAGTGGATGCAAAATAAAATTCATCTACAGGAGCATCTCCCCAACAGATGGAATAGTGAGAGTGGGACACGTCAGAGCACATGGACATTTAACGAAGCACTTTTAGAGTAACATTTTAGACAGTGAGAGGAGGTGCTTACCCTCAAAGGACCCGTTCTGGAATTCGGGGGGGGGGGGGGGGAGAACCAGTTTTCTCTTGGTAAAGATTTGACAGCAATAGCTTCTGTCCTTGGTACTGATAGGAGAGCCTCTGATTTGGGGACTTAATTTTCTCCTTCTTCTTCTTCTTCTTCTTCTTCTTCTTCTTCTTCTTCTTCTAGAATTAATGCATATATTTTATTTTCTATTTATTTTCTTTCTTTTGGGGGGAAGGGGGACTTTCATTCTTGACTACACTGCTCTTCTTTGTCCATTTACTAGTAGTGCAGGAAGAACTCATTTTGAAAGGTATTTCCTCATATTCACTTGATCCTTGCACCACCTTTTTGACTAATTCATTCTGTCCCACCAGAGAGTGACAGGCTTATTAAAGTGGTCCTTTACTAAAAGGACTGGTGGGAGAGAGATATGTGTGTGTGTGTGTGTGTGTGTGTGTGTGTGTGTGTGTATAGATAGATAGATAGATAGATATAGATATATCCTTTGAGCTTTTGGAACTTTGTGCTAATTTTATTACCTATGCAAAAATGAATGCAATTACTTTTTAAAATGGGTCTTCCTTCATGGTTTATTTGATTGGTATTGTTGCTAATAGAGCTCTAGGTTCAGTTTGTAGCCCAAAAGTTCCCTCAATAATTTATCAGATCAATAAGCCTCTTATGGTGTATTCAGTACTCTAAAGCCATCAAACCAAGTAAGTACTGACCGCTATCTCACTTTTTAGTGCAATACACTTTACAGTCCAGTCTTCCGTATTGGTACCATGAAGCACTTGGTGAATTTAACAAAGGGTTCTGACAAATATTTTTAGAAGGATGTACAAGGATTATCCTTGTACTTTAGTGGTGAGTTGGGCTTCCCAGACCTAAGTTAAGCCACCTCTTTTTTTCTCCCTGGTAACATCTTCCCACCAGACTCATCTTAGAAGTTTCACTGAGTTCAATGTAGAGCCCACAAGCAGGACTGAATGGCAATCACACTCTTCTTCCTTTACCTCTCTGGTGAACTGTCAATCAAGTGTAACAAGAGAAAGCTCCCTTCTTGGGTCCCACCATCTCTGTCCCACTCTGGTCACAGTGTCTTGCGGGGTGCTGAGTTTTAATGCATCAGCCTGGCATTAGTGTTGTTCACGAAGCCAACACAACACTCCCGAACTGAACAAATGTCATGGAGACCCAGGGTTCCTTCCTGCCCTGCTCTGTTTGGGCTCAGAAACTCTGAGACTTTGGCATAAGTTTTCATCCTCACCTGAGCCAAGTCATCCTCCTAAACTTGTGAGGATTCGCTACTATTAACTTTAACTAGCTTGGTCCTCCCAGTGGCCAGATGACCCCATCTTAGCAGGCCAGGCTTGCTCTATGTCCTGAAGCTCAGGGCACTCTTCCATTGACTTGCTTCAAGCGAAAGTGCCCATGACTTTTGCCTCACAGACAACTCTTCCTCTGGGAATCAGAAGGAGGGGAGAGTAAAAGAGACCACCATTTCAGTATTTGAGAATGGGGAAAGGTGAGCAGAGTCATCAGCAATTAGCAGATAATTAACGCTGCTGACCCTTAGGGCTCATCAGCACGCCTGGGGCCAGCCCCCAGCAATCAGCCGGGGCAGGTCGATAGTGTCAGGCCCAGGAATGAATAGGGCTCATCAGCAGCGCTGGAGCCGGGGAGCCAATCAGGGAAATTAATAGTAAGAGAGGGAGAGGGGGGTGGCGACAGAAAGACAGACAAGAGATACAGATACAGGGGGAAATGAGGAGGGGAGGAATAGAATAAGATGCACTGGGATAGGGAATGAGAAATAGTAATGATAAATAGAAGTAGGGATAGACACAAGGGCAGGAAAGAGAAGATTGGGAAAGGATGGGAGAAAGACGGAGGAGGAGGGGAGGGGAGAAGGATGCCAAGCACTTGGCATAGTGTGGGCCCCCCAGGAAACCACCAAGAGGCCAGAGCGAGGGACTAAGGGAGTCCACGCGGAGGAGGAAATGCGGATTCAAAGGAAGGAAGAGCCAATGCTGAGAGATACCGGGGAGAGTGTGGATGGGGCTGGGAGGACGCGACCCACTGAGAAGGAAAAGGGCCGATGTGAGTGGCCCTGAGCCTAGGTGCGCCCCCTGCCGTCCCCTCCCCGACGCCCGAGCGGGCGCCAAGGTCCTGTCTCGTCTGCCCCTCTGGGCTTGCTTTGGGAGCTGCAGGTCTTTGGCCCCAGGGGTTGGGACGCCGGGAGACTGGCTTGGGTCGGACAGAGGGCAGCAGCCTGGGCCGGGGTGGCTGGGGCAGGGGGCACTTTGGTCAGAGCCTGTCCCTCGTGGGGCGCCTTCCTCGCCGGCCGCCCGCGCCCAGTGCACACCCGGCCCATTGGGCTAAGTCGGGGCGGGCTGGGTGGAAGGAGGGGAAAGAGGCCAACAGCTGCAGCCGTCTTCTCGTTGGCCGCAAACTTTCACAAAGCGGTGTGTCCCGACTCATCAATCTCCATTAATAATAGTTGGTTGGGCCGCGGGGGGCGGGCGGGTCGGGCCGCTGGGAACAGGCGCTGCTGAGGGAGCGGGCGGGCTCCGCGGCGGGCGGAGGGAGGAAGCGAAGCGTAATTTGAAGAAGATGGATGAGTCCGGAGGGCGACACCCCCAGCCCGCCCGCTCGCCCGCCCCCTCCCTCCTTATGAGAGAGAGGGAACGCGGCACGGGAGCCACACTGCGCTGAGCCCGAGCCTCGCGCCACCTCGGCCAGGGAGCCTGGAGCCAGCTCTGCGTGTCCGCTCGGGCGCCCGAGCCGCGGGGCGCACGGCGGTGCCCGGAGGGGAGTCCCCGGGGCGGCCACAGCCCCGGCGCCATGCAGAGAGCTGGAGGCGGAGGCGCCCCCGGGGGCAGTGGCGGGGGCAGTGGCGGGGGCCCGGGCACTGCCTTCTCCATCGACTCCCTGATCGGGCCACCGCCGCCACGCTCTGGCCACTTGCTCTACACCGGCTACCCCATGTTCATGCCCTACCGGCCCCTCGTACTGCCGCAGGCGCTGGCCCCTGCGCCGCTCCCAACCGGCCTCCCACCTCTCGCCCCGCTGGCCTCCTTTGCCGGCCGCCTTACCAACACCTTCTGCGCCGGGCTGGGGCAGGCTGTGCCCTCGATGGTGGCGCTGACCACCGCGCTGCCCAGCTTTGCAGAGCCGCCGGACGCCTTCTACGGTCCCCCAGATCTCGCTGCTGCTGCTGCTGCTGCCGCTGCTGCCGCCGCCGCCCGAAACAACCCTGAGACCGGCGGCCGACGCCCAGAAGGTGGGCTGGAAGCCGAGGAACTGCTGCCGGCTCGGGAGAAAGTGGCAGAGCCCCCACCTCCCCTGCCTCCGCACTTCTCAGAGACTTTCCCAAGTCTGCCGGGTAAGTGCTGGGGCTGGCCAGGGAGCCGGGCGGGAGGCTCCTTACCTGAAAATCCCAGACAGCAGGCTACTCCGAATGGGCACTTGCCTGGAGTCCTGGAATCCCAGACGCCCAAATGGCAGGTTCTGCGAACCACCTCCTGTTCCCTTCATACAGAGCACCTCTAAAACCCAGAATTGCAGCCCTGCTCTGTTTCCAAAGTGCCCGAAGCCTTGCCAAAGACTTCCAAATGAGTGTCTTTCCTCTCTGCATTCTAGTCCTCAAGCCTTGGCTCTCCTGCGTCTTCTTTTCAGACTCCCTTCATTTTTCTCAGATGCTGGGAATAGAGAAGCTGCCAGTGTGGGATTCCTGAGGACAGCAACAAGACCCCAGGGTGAGGGCACATTGGGGCAGCTGTCAGTTAAGAGGAGGGCAGTTCTGGCTTCTGAGAAGGTTGTTTTGACCCTAAATGAGCTCTGTGGATGCAGGGGCAAAGGGAGGGTCTTAAAGTGGTGGTGTCTGTGTTGACCCATCTTCATCTTAGTAGGAGAGGTCATTTCTGAATTGGCAGATTTAGAGCTAAGCCGTAAATAACTGAGTAGAGGCCCTATGGAAACCTTAGCTAGCAGGGGCCTTAGCACCTGCTGGACCAGGGCTGACTGGGATGCCAAGAGAGAGGCTGGGCTGGGCTGGGCTGGGCTGGGCTGGGCTGGGCTGGGCACAGCCCAAAAGCCTGGAATCAAAAATTCAACTAAGAGTCTAGAACCGGAAGATTTTGCTAAGCCAATGCAGGAACACTGGACCCTCCATGGGAAGAGGATGCCCGCTAAATAGAGACAGGGTGAATTAAACTGAACCCTGTTTGGAATAGATCTATTTAGAGAGCTCCTGACTGCCTGTTTATTGATCCTTAACCCTTAGAAGCCAAAAAAGCTCCTCCCCATCCAGAGACAGATCCAGATGTGCTGATATCTAAAGCTTATACAGTTTGGTGGGCCCAGTTTAAGAAAAATAAGGGCCACATGCAAGTGCAAGGTTCCTGAATCTTAAACTTCTTTAGCATCAGGATGGACCTGCCTTTGCTTAACTGTTCATCGCAACCAGCTTAGCAGTGGAAGTGACCCCTGGAGGCATGGGGGCTGATTCTAGTGAAGATGGGGAGGAGATACAATAGTCTTTTTGTCCTTTGCCAGGAGGAGGCAATTCCTGATAATAGGTTTCTGGGCCCTTTCTTGAAATTGACGTTTGAAGGCAATAGGAGCAGAGGAAGAACCAGACACACCTGGGGAAGAGATAAGTTGTGGGGAGGAGAAAGGAAGACACCTCAGTGCAGGAGAACTGAAGGGGAATATGCCCAAACCATGGAAGAACAAGAACAAGCAGCTTGTCCTGCTCTTTCAGGTTTCCCTCAGTTCTGATATTGAACCATTTGTAAAATGAGTGCTCTTTTCTGACGCAGATAGAATATTGGCTGTAAAACCAGACATTGAGAGAGAGAGAAAGAAGTAAGCAGAGGAAAAGAACAGAAGAGAAATATCGAGGAAGGAAGAATAAGGGAAAGGAACAACACCCAGATTATCCAAAGAGAGAATATTAGAAAGGAGAGAGCTATTTATTGGAAGAGATGGATAGAAGGGATTTTTAGATGAAAAAGCAATATCTGGATCAATGTATGGATCAGAAAGAGTTCTGTCTGAGAGGACCGGATGAGAGCTAAATACATATACAGGTAGGAAACTGGGGAAAGTTTCAACACTAGGAGTAATTTTTAAAAAGGTATTTCAGTAATAAAAGTAATGGGAAACTAGAATTTATATAAAGAGAATGATGTAGGAAAGATCATTATCTGAGGAATGTTGGAAGCAAAAAAAGACACTTACTCTTGGAGTAAAGGTAAATTTCTTTGCTAAGAATGATGTGAGGGACCTGGCTGGTTTGGCTCAGTGGATAGAGTATAGGCCCATGGTCTGAAGGGTTCAGGGTTCAATCCCAATTGGGGCTCATGTAGGAGACAACCAATTGATGTATCTCTCACATCGATGTTTCTCTCTCTCTCTCTCTCTCTCTCTCTCTTTCTTTCTCTCTCTTTCTGTCTCTCTGTCTCTGTCTCTCTGTCTCTCTGTCTTTCTCTCCCTCTCCTTCTCCCTCTCTCTCCTCTCCTCCCCCCTCTCTTTCTCCTCCCCCCTTCCACTCTCTCTCAAAATCAATGGGAAAATATCCTCTGGTGAGGATTTTTTTTTTTTTAAATGAGGAGAGGAGTCCTTACAGAGGAAGAATTTTGAGAGGTGCTGGAGTGAAGGTAATAATTCACATAGAGAAGAGATACAGAGAAAGGGTCTACAAGGGGGTTTCTGGGATAGAGTACTAAGGAGATATTTCAGAAGAAACATTCCAAGAAAATAATGAGTTAGAGATCTTATCTGTGACTGCTACTTCTTATCACTTTCAGTACAAACTTTCTAACTCTCCTCCCCATTCATACCCATCTTCCCAGTTTTGTCCCTCCCCCCCTAAAATAGTTGAGAAAATAAAAGGTAATTGCAGAAATGTAGGACATAAAATCATTTTGAGGAATAATGACACATGGCCCATTGCAAAAGTTGTGGGAAAATAAATGCACCATTTTGAGAATTATATTTGAGTATTTTATGTGAGATAAGAGAGTTCTCTGCTTAAATAATGGGATTGGAACCTCAAAATTAGAAGAATTTAGAGAAAGAATTCTATCTTTAAAATGAAAGAGGAGGCGTTTCTGTTCTAGTATGAATAGGAGATATTGGTCTGAAATTATTAATTTACATTAGTTTAGTGTTTTACAATTACTAAATGAATTATAGTGAAGATAGGCCAATTTAGTGAATGATGAGTGAAGTGCCTTTTCTTGGGAATTATAAGGACATTTAAAAAAAATTTTTGCTGAGAGTTGAAACAGATAGCACCCTTCAAGAATTGATGAGGAAGAAACTTTATTATGATTTGATTGCATGGGTAGAAGCTCTATTGTAGGCACCAAGAAATACTGTGTACAGAAATAATAGGGTAAAAAAGATAGTGATAATGGCAGATTGAAAATAATTCTAAGTTTGGCACATGGGGAGCAGTGAATGTAATTGGAGAAGGTGTGATACAAGAAGAGAGAATTTTTAATTAGTAGGGAAGATTTTAAAGTATGAATCAATAGAAAAGTCCAGAGTAGTGCTGTCTAGCAAGTCATTTATGTAATTAAAAATTTTTATTAGGCATGTTAGAAAGTATAAAGAAATAGGTGACATTAACTTTAATATTTTATTTAACCCAATATATTCAAAATATTATTTCAACATTAATCAATATAAAAATGTTTAATGGGATACTTTATATTCTCTTTTCATATTAAATCTTCGAAATCCAGTATGTATTTTACACTTCCAGTGCATCTCAATTCAGACTAGCCATGTTTCTAGTGGTCAGAAGCCTCATGTGACCAGTGGTGACCATATTCAACATAACAGATTTAGAGAATCGTAAGAACAGTCATATGAACATGATGGGGAAAAAGGAGCTTTAAATTTCAGTGACTAGTGAAGTCATCCATGTTAGGAACAATGGAGTAAAGAGAGCTGTAAGCTCTACGTGTCAGGAAAAAGGAGAATTTTGCTTTGAATTGGATGGGCAGAGATGATCTTGGTTGTGAAGGTGTGTGTGAGCTAAAGCTGAAAGAAATCTAAGCTAACTTGAAGATGAGTACAAACACACATCCCAGAGATTACAAGTGATGAGGATGCTTTGTGCTGGGGGAATGAAGAAAAAGAGCTGTCTGTTTGGAGAAATGCAGAAGAAAACTTTAAATTGGGGGTGTCTAGAGCAATGGTTCCTTCAGGGGAAAAATAATTAGATTATCTGAATACTTAAGAAGTGAGGTATGGTAGATAATCCACATATAATTTTTGTATAGATGATAAAAATGTAAGAGATTGATAGCAAAGATAGTTGAGTATGGTAAGAAAAAGAAAACATTTGTAGTTTAGATGATATAGAAAAAGAATGTGATGGGACAAACCTGAGAGAAAGCAATGTAGTGAACATTATATTTTAAAATTAAACAAAAAGACTTGCTAATTTCTGAATAGAGATTGTCAATAATAATAGAAATCATGCCAGAAGACCAGGAAACTTTTAGGAGCATGATACTGTATTTGAGTGCTGATTGCAGTAAGCTGATTGATTGTAAACTAGACTGTTTTACATGACCAACAGTTAATTTCCTTTTAAAAACTGTATATTTTTAATTGATTTCAGAGAGGAAGGGAGAGAGAGATAAAAACATCAATGATGAGAGAGAATCATTGTCCCGCTCCTTCTGCACGTCCCACACTGGGGATTGAGCCTGCAACCCAGGCATGTACAGGAATCAAATTGACCTCCTGGTTCATAAGTCAATGATCAACCACTGTGCCACACCAGCCAGGTCATATTCAAAGTCTTATAATTTCTCTAGGCTTCTGTTTCTTCATCGATAGCATTAAAAGTCTTGGCTCACCCTGGCCGGTGTTGCTAAGTGGTTTGAGCATCAGCCTGAGCACCAGAGTCACAGGTTCAATTCCTGGTCAAGGGCACATACCTGGGTTGCAGGTTGATCCCCAGCCCTGGCGTGGACAAGTGCAGGAGGCACCCAATCAATGTTTCTTTCTCTTTTCCTCTCCCTCTCCCTCTCCCTCTTTCTCTTCCCTGCTCCTCCCCCTCTCTCCCCCTCCTTTTCCTTCTCCCTTTCCCTTTTTCCTTTTCATTCTCTCTAAAAATCAATGGAAAATATATCCTCAGGTAAGGAATAACAAAACACAAAAAAGTTTTGGTTCAGATGATTTTTTAAAAATATGTTTTTATTAATTTCAGAGAGGAAAAGAGAGAAAGAAAGATCAATGTGAAAGAATCATTGATTGGCTGCCTCCTGCATGCCCCTTACTGGGATTGAGCCTGCAACTCAGACATGTGACCTTGACTGGAATTAAACCTAGGGCCCTTCAGTCCACAGGCCAACGCTC